TAATGGGAAGTGCAGTACACAAGAACCATAACTCTATCTAAAGTGATTACAGAGTTATTGCTCTTTGTTACTTTTCCATTGCTTTCTTTTGTTCAGACCATAACTTGAAGACTAATTGTTGGAATTCAATATAACTACATAAAATGGCCAAGCACATTGTGAGGAAGTGCAATGCACAAGAACCATAACTCTACCTTGACTAATTACAGAGTTATTGCCCTTTGTTACTTTTCCTTGTCTGGGGTATAACTTGAAAACTTCTGGTTGGAATTCAAAACAACTTCATACAATTGTGAAACACAAGAATGGGAAGTGCAGTGCACAAGAACCATAACTTTTTCTAAAGTGATTACAGAGTTATTGCCCTTTGTTACTTTTCCATGGCTTTCTTTTGTCCGGACCATAACTTGAAGACTAATGGTTGGATTTCAATATAACTACATGCAATGGTCAAGCACATTGAGAGGAAGTGCAGTGCACAAGAACCATAACTCTATCTTGACTAATTACAGAGTAATTGCCCTTTGTAACTTTCCCTTGTCCGGGGCATAACTTGAAAACTACTGGTTGGAATTCAAAACAACTTCATACAATTGTGAAACACAATAATGGGAAGTGCAGTGCACAAGAACCATAACTCTATCTGAAATAATTACAAAGTTATTGCCCTTTGTTACTTTTCCATTGCTTTCTTTTGTCCGGACCATAATTTGCAGACTAATTGTTGGAATTCATTATAACTTCATACAATGGTCAAGCACATTGAGAGGAAGTGCAGTGCACAAGAACAAGAACTCCATCTTGACTTATTACAGAGTGACTGCCCTTTGTTACTTTTCATTGTCCAGAGCATGACTTGAAAACTACTGGTTGGAATTCAAAACAACTTCATACAATGGTCAAGCACAATAAGGGGAAGTGCAGTGCTCAAGAACCATAACTCCATCTTGACTAATTACAGAGTTATTGCCCTTTGTTACTTTTCCATTGCTTTTTATGTCCGAGCATAACTTGAAGACTAATGATTTGAATTCAATATAGCTTCATACAATGGTCAAGCACATTGAGAGGAAGTGCAGTGCACAAGAACCATAACTCCATCTTGACTAATTACAGAGTTATTGCCCTTTGTTACTTTTCTTGAAAACTACTGTTTGGAATTCAATACAACTTCATACAGTTGTCCATGACATTAAAAGGAAGAGCAGTGCACAAGAGCCATAACTCCATTTTGACGAAATACAGACTTACTGCCCTTTGATACTTTTTCCTTGTCCGGAGCATAACTTAAAACGTACTGGTTGGAATTCAAAACAACTTCATACAATGGTCAAGCACAATAAGAGGAAGTGCAGTGCACAAGAACTATAACTCCATCTTCAGTTTTTATAGAGTTATTGCCCTTTGTTCCTTTTCTTTGTCTTTCTAGACTTATTACTGAGTAATTCAATTAAAATTTATCAATGGCCAACCTTATTGAAAGGAAATGCAACATACAAGAACCACAACTATCTTTAATTGCCTACAACCATAACTCTATATTTCAATTTTTTTACAAGGTATTCTGTTACTAGTAACATCCTCATTTCCGAAGCAGTCTTGTGGGGGTATTAATCACATTTAGTGATATTTCTAGTTTATAATTGATAGAAACATAAACTTTGATGGAGTTAGTTGTCAGTTGGGTCAAGGTCACTAGTGCTAAAAATAGATTTTTACACATTTGCTCATACAGCCTTTATTAAGTGACAGATATATTTTATATTTGTGGCAGTTATGTTTCTATTTGTTGCCATCTTTTTTGTTAATCTATAGAAACTTTTAAAGTGTGCTGTTGCCAGGAAATGTGTTTTTCAACAAAAAATGACTTGTAAAGTAATATTGGTTGAATATTATGTAGGATATAGACGCAACAAACTGTGCTTGAAAAATGGAAAAACATGCTTAAAAAGTGCTATTGATGCAATACTTTAAATAGTAACACCTTAATTTTATGCATGGAATGCCCTCTTTACGATATTACACTTAAGAGGTTAGTTTTCGTATCAAATTAGCGATATTTTCTCTAGTATTCTCGCTTACATGCAGTAATCAATAAAGCATTCAGACCTTGCAACAAAAGTTGCTTGCAAAAAGGTTAATTCAAAGAAATATTGACATATACAACAGAAAACAGATTTCAATTGGTACATTTTACAGATCTTTAACTGCTTTAAATTAGAGCTAAAAGTTCCGGTTTTCCAGGTCTGTACAGCGGTACGTACTGCAGATGTCTCGTACCACGGTTTACCTGTATACTGGTAAACCGCGCACCTTTAGATCTTAATATTGATAATTGAATATATTGGTATGGACAAATGTTAATAATATGTATCCTCTCTGTTTAAAAAAATATTTTTAACGGGTTATTGTAATGCCGAAGTCGGCGGGCGGGCGGGCAGGCGTCAACTTTTGGTTTCCGCTCAATAACTTGAGTTTGCTTTGGCCTATTGACACCAAACTTGGTGTGTAGGTAGCTAATATCAAGAGGCAGCTTGGGATTGCTACCCAGGTGTCTGTGATCAAGGTCAAGGTCACTGTTACTAAAAATAGAAATTCAGTTTCCGCTCAATAACTTGAGTTTGCTTTGGCCTATTGACACCAAACTTGGTGTATGGATAGCTTATATCAAGAGGCAGCTTGGGATTGCTACCCAGGTGTCTGTGATCAAGGTCAAGGTCACTGTTACTGAAAATAGAAATTCAGTTTCCGCTCAATAACTTGAGTTTGCTTTGACCTATTGACACCAAACTTGGTGTATGGATAGCTTATATCAAGACGCAGCTTGGGATTGCTACCCAGGTGTCTGTGATCAAGGTCAAGGTCACTGTTACTAAAAATAGAAATTCAATTTCTGCTCAATAACTTGAGTTTGCTTTGACTTATTGACACCAAACTTGGTGTATGGATAGCTTATATCAAGAGGCAGCTAGGGATTGCTACCCAGGTGTCTGTGATCAAGGTCAAGGTCACTGTTACTGAAAATAGAAATTTAGTTTCCGCTCAATAACTTGAGTTTGCTTTGACCTATTGACACCAAACTTGGTGTATGGATAGCTTATATCAAGACGCAGCTTGGGATTGCTACCCAGGTGTCTGTGATCAAGGTCAAGGTCACTGTTACTAAAAATAGAAATTCAATTTCTGCTCAATAACTTGAGTTTGCTTTGACTTATTGACACCAAACTTGGTGTATGGATAGCTTATATCAAGACGCAGCTAGGGATTGCTACCCAGGTGTCTGTGATCAAGGTCAAGGTCACTGTTACTAAAAATAGAAATTTAGTTTCCGCTCCATAACTTGAGTTTGCTTTGACCTATTGACACCAAACTTGGTGTAAGGATAGCTTATATCAAGACGCAGCTTGGGATTGCTACCCAGATATTTGTGATCAAAGTCAAGGTCACTGTTACTAAAAATAGAAATTCAGTTTCCGCTCAATAACATGAGTTTGCTTTGACCTATTGACACCGAACTTGTTGTGTAGGTAGCTTATTTCAAGAGGCAGCTTGGGATTGCTATCCAGGTGTCTGTGATCAAGGTCAAGGTCACTGTTACTAAAAATAGAAATTCAATTTCTGCTCAATAACTTGAGTTTGCTTTGACTTATTGACACCAAACTTGGTGTATGGATAGCTTATATCAAGACGCAGCTAGGGATTGCTACCCAGGTGTCTGTGATCAAGGTCAAGGTCACTGTTACTGAAAATAGAAATTTAGTTTCCGCTCAATAACTTGAGTTTGCTTTGACCTATTGACACCAAACTTGGTGTATGGATAGCTTATATCAAGACGCAGCTTGGGATTGCTACCCAGGTGTCTGTGATCAAGGTCAAGGTCACTGTTACTAAAAAAAGAAATACAGTTTCTGCTCAATAACTTGAGTTTGCTTTGACTTATTGACACCAAACTTGGTGTATGGATAGCTTATATCAAGACGCAGCTAGGGATTGCTACCCAGGTGTCTGTGATCAAGGTCAAGGTCACTGTTACTAAAAATAGAAATTTAGTTTCTGCTCCATAACTTGAGTTTGCTTTGACCTATTGACACCAAACTTGGTGTATGGATAGCTTATATCAAGACGCAGCTTGGGATTGCTACCCAGGTGTCTGTGATCAAGGTCAAGGTCACTGTTACTAAAAATAGAAATTCAGTTTCTGCTCAATAACTTGAGTTTGCTTTGACCTATTGACACCAAACTTGGTGTATGGATAGCTTATATCAAGAGGCAGCTTGGGATTGCTACCCAGGTGTCTGTGATCAAGGTCAAGGTCACTGTTACTAAAAATAGAAATTCAGTTTCTGCTCAATAACTTGAGTTTGCTTTGACTTATTGACACCAAACTTGGTGTATGGGTAGCTTATATCAAGAGGCAGCTTGGGGTTGCTACTTAGATGTCTGTGATCAAGGTCAAGGTCACTGTTACTAAAAAAAGAAATACAATTTCTGCTCAATAACTTGAGTTTGCTTTGGCCTATTGACACCAAACTTGATGAATGGGTAGCTTATATCAAGGGGAAGCTTGGGATTGCTACCCAGGTGTCCGTGATCAAGGTTAATGTATTTAGTTTTCATGTTATAACTTGAGTTTGCTTTGACCTTTTGACACCAAAATTGCTGAGTGGCAGCTTTGGATTGCCACTTAGATCTCTGGGAGACAATAGAATTTTCAGCTTCTACTCAATAACTTCAGTGCACTTTGACCTATTGATTTCTGTCACATGAAAACTTGGGTCGTTGAAAACCTGCTTTTCGTCGCATTGCGGCGCTTCTTGTTGATTACTTTAAATTGTATTTACTTTAAACAAATTTGCAGTCGGGGATATTTGTCATGCCTACGGTGTAAAACAATAAAGCATTATTTTATATAAAACAGAATATAAAACCCACAGAAAGTAGTAATTTGAATGTTAAGACATATGTTTTGTTGACAAATCCTTTTTAATATTCTTTTTAAGATTCTTGTTCGAAGAAGTTCTCCTGCTATGAATATTCATCAAATGATTGCCAATTTCAAATGCTGCCCTCTAGATCTAGAGGAAGATATAAGGATTCAGAAAGAATTAAATGAATGGAAGGACTATGAAGCTGAAGTTGGTCATTTGAAAGATGAAATGACAGACATAAAAACAGATGTTTCCAGAATGATGAAGCACCTCGAGCAGATAAAAAGACGACAGTATTCAAGTTTGTTTCTGGATTTATTTTTGATAATTATGCCCCCCTTCAAAGAAGTGGGAGTATATTGCTTTGCAATTGTCTGTTGGTCAGTCTGTCTGTAGACCTAATGGTTTCCCATTGATAAATTAAAAACGCTTAGGCCTAGGTACTTCAAACTTTGTATGATGATTGCTCATGACCAGTAGATGACCTCTTTTGATTTTGGGGTCAAAGGGTATGTCAAAACAGTTTCTAATCAATAACTGGACAACCGACGGACCCATGACCTTGTGATTTGTGATAATGTTGTCATAAAATTGCTGCACACAACCTTTATGGTCACAATTACCTAGTGACTAGTCATGACCAATAGATAATCCCTATTGATTTTTTGGTCACTGAGTCAAAAGTCAGTAATAACAGCCAGACCACATCACTCATTAGTAGGGATGTCATTCTGAGTCCGGATATCCGAATGTTCGGATCATGATTCGCTGTCCGGAGCCAATTTGCTGATCCGGATGTTCGTAAAAAAAAATTCAGAATATTGAGAAAATGTGATAAAAAACATGCGTTGAGATATCGACATAGATGTGGTGTTGATACCATATTGTATAATTGTACTTTAGTTTTTTGACAATACACATCATAATCTCCACAGACCACAAAAAATCAATAATTACTGTAATAATTACGAGTCAGGTATTAGACACGTGGTAATTCTGTATTAAACACCAAACAAATTTAAGTTTTGTAGGATTCAAAATGAATATTCTAAGTCTTGTGGGATTGTCATCGGCAACGATGTTACATTTTTAGCTTGACTATTCGATAAGAATAAGTAGAGCTATTGTAGTCACCCGAGCGTCAGCGTCGGCGTAACCACTTATACTAAAGTTTTTGTAATAGTTCAAATATTTTCAAAGTCCATTGACATATGGCTTTGAAACTTTGCACACTTGTTCACCATCATGACCCCAACCTGTAGACAGGAGGAGGTAACTTTATCAAGCATTTTGACAGAATTATGCCCCTTTTTAGCTCGACTATTCGATAAGAATAAGTAGAGCTATTGCAGTCACCTGAGCGTCGGTGTCTGCGTCGGCGTAACCACTTATGTTAAAGTTTTTATACCCCCGCACAACAAAGTTGTAAGGGGGGTATACTGGAATCAGCTTGTACGTCCGGCTGTCCGGCTGCACTACCGAATAAGGATAGGGGGCCATCTAACTGTAAACAGAACAAAAGAGAACAATAGAGTTCATTCCGTAACAATAGAGTAAGGGGCCATTGGCCCTCTATTAAACAAAGAAAATAACAAAAGAAATGGCTTTTATTCCATTTCGGCCGGACGTCCGTCTGGCCGTCCAGCCGTCCGTCGGTTTTTTCTTGTCCGCCCAATAACTTAAGATTCCTTTGACCCTTAGTCTTCATATTTGGCATGGAGGTTAATCATGATTAGTAGATGACCCCTATTGATTTTGAGGCCACCAGGTCAAAGGTCAAGGTCACAGGGGCCTTGACTTCAAAAAGCTTGTCCGCCCAATAACTTAAGATTCCTTTGACCCACAGTCTTCATATTTGGCATGGAGATAAGTCATGATTAGTAGATGACCCCTATTGATTTTGAGGTCACAAGGTCAAAGGTCAAGGTCACAGGGGCCTTGACTTCAAAAAGCTTGTCCGCCCAATAACTTAAGATTCCTTTGACCCATAGTCTTCATATTTGGACTTGAGGTTATTCATGATTAGTAGATGACCCCTATTGATTTTGAGGTCACCAGGTCAAAGGTCAAGGTCACAGGGGCCTTGACTTCAAAAAGCTTGTCTGCCCAATAAGTTAAGATTCCTTTGACCCCACAGTCTCTTCATATTTGGCATGGACGCTAGTCATGATAAGTAGATGACCCCTATTGATTTTGAAGGTCACCCAGGTCAAAAGGTCAAGGTCACAGGGGCCTTGACTTTCAAAAAAGCTTGTCCGCCCAATAACTTAAGATTCCTTTGACCCATAGTCATCATATTTGGCATTGAGGTTAGTCATGATTAGTAGATGACCCCTATTGACTTTGAGGTCACCAGGTCAAAGGTCAAGATCACAGGGGCCTTGACTTCAAAAGCTTGTCCGCCTATAACTTAAGATTCCTTTGAAAGACAGTCTTCATATTTGGCATGGAGGCTAGTCATGATAAATAGATGACCCCTATTGACTTTGAGGTCACCAGGTCAAAGGTCAAGGTCACAGGGGCCTTGACTTCAAAAAGCTTGTCCGCCCCAATAACTTAAGATTCCTTTGACCCACAGTTTTCATATTTGGAATGGGAGGTTAGTCATGATTAGTAGATTGACCCCTATGGATTTTGAGGTCACCAGGTCAAAGGTCAAGGTCACAGGGACTTTGACTTCAAATAGTTTGTCCACTCATTAACTTAAGATTCCTTTGACCCACAGTCTTCATATTTTGGCATGGATGTTGATCATGACTATAAGGTGACCCCTATTTGATTTTGAGGTCACTGGGTCAAAGGTCAAGGTCACAGGGACCTTGACAAAAAAAGAAAGCTTTTCTTCTTCAATTGCTAAAGAATGTCCTGTCCGCAATGTATTGATTTTGACATTTTCACATTTGAAGCATGTAGAATACATAACTTAGCAATTTGCACTGGCATAGTAAAACCTCAGATTTGGCAGGGAGGTTGTCCTTGAGCTCTAAAATGGCCACTGTTGATTCTGACAAAGTGGTATGCGGGGGTATTCACGCCACCATGATAGTGGCAGTAGTTCTAGTGTGTAATAGTTCAAGTATTTTCAAAGTCCATTGACAACATATGGCTTTGAAACTTTGCACACTTGTTTCACCATCATGACCCCAACCTGTAGACAGGAGGAGAAAACTCTATCAATCATTTTGACAGAATTATGCCCCTTTTGACTTAGAATTTACGTTAAAGTTTTTGTAATAATTCAAAAATATTTTCAAAGTCCATAGATATATATGGCTTTGAAATTTTTGCCCCCTTGTTTACCATCATGACCCCAATCTGTAGACATGAGGACTGGTAACTCTATCAAGCATTTTTGACAGAATTATGCCCCTTTTTTGACTTAGAATTTATGTTAAAAGTTCTGTTATACCTCAAAATATTTTCAAAGTCCATAGGAGCATATGGCTTTGAATCTGTGCACACTTTCTCACCATCATGACCCTAACCTGTAAACAGGAGGAGAGGTAACTGTATCAATCATTTTTATACGAACCGTTTGAAAAACGGGACGTATTATGGGAACGCCCCTGGCGGTCGGGGCGGGCGTCGTCCACTTTTGTCCGGAGCATATCTCCTACATGTATGGAGGGATTTTTAATGAAACTTCATAGAAATGTTCACCACTATGAGAAGCAGTGTCGCGCACATGAACCAGGTCTCTAGGTCAAAGGACAAGGTCACACTTAGAGCTCATTGAAAAATGCTTGTCCGCGTGAGCAAAACTTCCACATGTATAGAGGGATTTCAATATTACTTGGCACAAATATTCACCATTGTGAGGCGGAGTGTCGCGCGCAAAATTCAGGTCCTTGCGGCCAAGGTCAAGGTCACACATAGAGGTCAAAGTTTAGATAAAAATATGAAGATGTGTATATGGACCATTTAGTCATCATTTATTGAGGGATTGTAACATAAATGGTCATTATCAAGACTATGGCTGTGATTCATATAATTTTAGGTCAATATATACAAGGTCAAGGTCACTAAAGATGATGAAATATCCAGATTTTGTCCGGAGCATATCTCCTACATGCATGGAGGGAATTTTAATGAAATTTTCATAGAAATGTTCACCTAATTATGAGAAGCCATGTCACGCACATGAACTAGGTCTCTAGGTCAAAGGTCAAGGTCACACTTAGAGTTTTCATTGAAAATTGCTTGTCCGGAGCAAAACTTCACATGTATAGAGGGATTTCAATATGACTTGGCACAAATGTTCACCATTGTGAGGCGGGTAACAGTGTCGCGCGCAAGATTCAGGTCCTTGCGGCCAAGGTCAAGGTCACACATAGAGGTCAAAGTTCAGATGAAAAATATGAAGATGTGTATATGGACCATTTAGTCATCATTTATTGAGGGATTGTAACACAAATGGTCATTATCAAGACTATGGCTGTGGATACATATAATTTAGGTCAATATATACAAGGTCAAGGTCACTAAATGATGAATATCCAGATTTTGTCCGAAGCATATCTCCTACATGTATGGAGGGATTTTAATGAAACTTCATAGAAATGTTCACCATTATGAGGAGCAGTGTCGCGCACATGAACCATGTCTTTAGGTCAAAGGTCAAGGTCACACTTAGAGCTCATTGAAAAATGCTTGTCCGGAGCAAAACTTCCACATGTATAGAGGGATTTCAATATTACTTGGCACAAATGTTCACCATTGTGAGGCGGAGTGTCGCGCGCAAGATTCAGGTCCTTGCGGCCAAGGTCAAGGTCACACATAGAGGTCAAAGTTCAGATAAAAATATGAAGATGTGTATATGGACCATTTAGTCATCATTTATTGAGGGATTGTAACACAAATGGTCATTATCAAGACTATGGCTGTGATACATATAATTAAGGTCAATATATACAAGGTCAAGGTCACTAAAGATGATGAAATATCCAGATTTTGTCCGGAGCATATCTCCTACATGTATGGAGGGATTTTAATGAAACTTCATAGAAATGTTCACCATTATGAGAAACCATGTCACGCACATTAACTAGGTCTCTAGGTCAAAGGGCAAGGTCACACTTAGAGCTCATTGAAAAACGCTTGTCTGGAGCAAAACTTCCACATGCATAGAGGGATTTCAATATAACTTGGCACAAATGTACACTATTGTGAGGCGGAGTGTCGCGCACAAATTCAGGTCCCTGCAGCCAAGGTCAAGGTCACACATAGAGGTCAAAGTTTAGATAAAAATATGAAGATGTGTATAGGGACGATTTTATCTTCATTTATTGAGGGATTGTAACACAAATGGTCATTATCATGACTATGGCTATGACACATGTACTTTAGGTCAATATATGCAAGGTCAAGGTCACTAAAGATGGTGAAATATCCAGATTTTGTCTGGAGCATATCTCCTACATGTATGGAAGAATTTTTATAATACTTTATGGAAATGTTCACCACCATGATATGTATTGCTCCATGCATGATCCAGGTCTCAAGGTCAAAGGTCAAGGTCACACTTAGAGCTCATTGAAAAACGCTTGTCTGGAGCAAAACTTCTACATTCATAGGGGGATTTCAATATAACTTGGCACAAATGTTCACCATTGTGAGGCTGAGTGTCGCACGCAAAATTCAGATCCCTGCGACCAAAGTCAATGTTACACATAGAGGTCAAAGTTCAGATAAAACTTGAAGATGTGTATAGGGACCATTTAGTCATCATTTATTGATGGATTGTAGCACAAATGGTAACTATTATGACTACAGGTGTGACACATTTAATTTAGGTTAATATTTGCAAGGTCAAGGTCACTGGAGATGATTAAATATCCAGATGTTGTCCGGAGCATATTTTCTACATGCATGGAGGAATTTTAATGTTACTTTATAGAATTGTTCACCACCA